GGTGCTGAGGTCCCTTTGGCCCTAATGAGGCCTCCTCTTCTAATAGCCTCATCCTGGTCTACCAGATTCAGATAACAATGTAAATACAAGCCACTGGGCTATAATGTAACAGCAACAATATCATCGGAGGCCACTCTCTGCCCCTCCTAAGGAGGCAAGCTTCTCCCTCAACAACATGTGCCTCCTAGCCCCAGATACTTTAAGAGCTCCTAGAGCCCATTAGTCTTACCAGAAGCAGAAAAGGCAACCGAACATCTGAGTAGCATTTCTGCAAGAGCTTATTCCCTTTGACTACCAATAGAAAACTAACCCCCATACCAGCCCCAGCCCTGGGGCTTATATGTGCCCAGGGCCCTGTTTCCTTCTGGTCAGCTGACTGGGTACAGGTGACAGCTAATACCCTGATTAGCCTGCTTGCAGGCAACCTGCAGCTGTGGAGCCCTGCCCAGCTCTCAGGGCTCCCGAGCTAAGCTGCCTCTGCTTGTGAAGAAGCAGGCACACCTTACCACCCTACAGCATAGTAGTACCTAGAAATCCCCAAAATGGCCTTGCTCTCTAAGAAAACTGTAGCCCAACATGAGCAAGGCTCTCTGGACCTGATCTGGAGTCCATGTGAAAGATTCCTTTTGGCTTGGGCAAGTGCTTGGCATCGAGAATTAGTTGCTTTCAACATTGGTATCCTTTCATCGAGGAGTAAACTCCTCTATGACAGAGCACTGGCTTGGGAGTTAGGAGGAATAGATACTATTCCTGACCTAGACAAACCTTGTCACCATTCTGTGCCTCAGTTTACCTTTCCATCCTCTCTCATCTTTTTAAAGAGTAAGTAGCTGGGGACAAATTAACAGTCTGTACTGATGCCAATGCAAGTCAAGTGAGGTTCGCCTGCTACCATAACTAACAGTAGATGGAATGACTTGTGACTGTTATTGCCAAGTGCTGGGCAGTGGTTAAACAACCTAGCAACCCCCAGTGCCAATGGCTTTGTGACAAAAAGCATCTTAGAGGGGGGTACTAGTCTTACCCCTGGTGGAGCAAAAGCTACCAAAAAGTTGTGGAACTGAAGTCTGATCTGTGATAAATTTTACATTCAGTGAGCTGATGTCTCACTCGGCATCATTCTATTGTCCTGTGAGACAGACAGATGCCTACTACTAGTCGGGGACAGAGCCTGCTTTTAACTTCTTAAGTATATAGCGCCGAGCACTATGGAGCCCTAATCTCAGGGCATTCGGCTGCCACTGCAATACAAACAACAGTACCCAGACAAGTGCCTGCTGTTCGCAGACAGTGAAGAAGTCCTCCACTAATCTGTGGCAGCAGCCCTGCTGTGGTTAAGCATGATGCACTGAAATGCTTAACTGCTGGTTGCAGTAGGTGCACCACATCTTCACTCAGACAGTCTTAAAAATTTCTTTGCTCATGTAGGGTAGGGCTGGTTGTCCAAAACTGGCATGTTTGAGCAACGGAGATCCCACCATCTCCCCACTACACTGCCTGATGTATTTCACATAAAAGCTCCGGCCCGATTCTCATCTGCACTAAGGAGACTTCACACTATTATGTCAGCTTTTGAGTGAGTGTAAATGTGAGGGGCAAAGTGCTGTACCAGGGCTTCAGCACAGATGAAAATTCAGGCATCTCTCCAGTGCCATGTTATAAATTAATGCAGGGCTTAATGGATTCCCAAACTCCAACATAGCATTGGAGCAGCGTTATCGTCTGTGGAAACCAACTCTCTGCACACTGTGGGCTTTGCTTCCCCCGGTGCTGAAATATGTCCCACATGACTTGCACATTATTAAATAGCTGCATTATCTGGGTCTGTGGATTTGCTTCATGTGAACAAAGCAGAGTGGCTGTGCTGAGTGAAATGAAACCTTTTAAAATGCCTCTGCCCCTTGTCTGTCTGCCTGAACCAATACAACCCACGAAAGCACCTCTGGGTTGGCTCACATGCTAAGTGGAAATCTTGGAGCCTGCCAGATAGAACGACAGAGAGCGCCGTGTTGGGAGAGGGCTGCATTGTTGTTATTGTTTTTTCCTTTTTTAAAACCAACCTCCAGGGTATTAACTGAATGGCAGCCGATTATGAGCTACTAAGGGGGAAAAAAAGCCATTTACTTTTACTGTGTTCAATGACAGGTTTATGTTCATTATTTAAAAGCAAACAAGAGTCTTGTGTAAATGAAAAAAAAGAAGGAAAAAACCACCATCAGGCAGGTGCTGACAAGTCTTGTGGTTCCAGAAGGGAGGATTTATGAGCACAGTACTGATTTAGAAGAGATAGGGGGATTCTTTCAGCCTTGGGAGCAAGAGGCGAACACATTACAGGAGCTACTGGGGCAAAATATAGTAGCGGGCAGTGGGACACTTTGCTGTTAATATTCGGGAGCTGATTGAGTCCAGGACTTCTTTGCTTTTGTTATCATGCCCAAAACACTGAGGAGGAAGAGCTGGGACATGGGCTGCTGCATTCCAGCCTTAGAGCTGCTTTTTTGCTGGGAGTTCAGGAAGAAAAAGCCCTTGCTTCAAAGGACAGGTACTGCCCCCTCTTTAAAAAACAGCAGCTTTATTTATATCAAGGACATCACCCTGGGGAAGACTGGAGCCCTGTCACTAAACTGGTTTGCTTCTATATCTTAGCTTTAGAGCCCTCTGTTTAATTAATGGTATGTCTTTCCTGAATAAAAGTAAGGTAGGTGCATTAATAAACTCCATGTGAGCCTGGAAGCACGAATCTGTGCGCTTCAGCCTGGCTCTCTTACTTGATGTTATATTTTGTAAAAGTTGCTAGCAGCTCAGTTTACAGAAGCCCTGAGCCATTGACTTGTAATGGAGATCTGGGTGCTGAGCACCTCTTAACATTTCTGTCAACTCCTAGATTCCTTGTTATGTGTGCGTTAGATACAAGGGAAAGAAGGATCGTGTCTCCATCCATGCACATTTATATTCTCCGTATTCACGCTTGGCTTCCCTCAGCCTTTTCCTTCTGTCTGCATCTCTGCCATGTCTCAGATTCCCCCTATCTAAAGAGGAGGCAAAACTTGTTTAATACAAGAGTGTTGTGAAAATAGTTAATATTTGTATAATGCTTTGACGATGTAACATTTTACTGTTATTGTGGAGAAGTGTTTAGTTGGGTTCATTTCACTTATGTGAAAGTTCTTTTTTCCTATCATTTCCTCAATACTTCCTCTGAGTTACACTCCTAGTTTTTCAACTCATGTATATCCCATGAGTGTTCAGGAGAAAGAGCATGTCCTACTTATAAAATGTTTGTGACAAAGCATTTGATACTGAATAACACAAGACAATCTCCACATCTCACAGCAAATTAACTTTATCAGCTACTTGCTGTGCAGGGTTGAGGGGTCACATAGAGAACAGACCCTAAGCATAAAATAACCTGGAAAATGGTCCACACCCCACAAGAACGGGGACGTTTTTTCTCAATCCTCATCTCTAGTCTTAATGCTGCGGAAGATGCTCAGGAGAAGTTTGCAACAAGCAGGCAGGCAGACTGATGAGCATCAAAGAGACTGCTCCCTGGTATAGATTTGCATGACTCAGTGTATTGTCTGGGTTTTGCCTCTATTTCTGAAGCACCCAGTGGCAGATCAGATGGACCACCGGCCTGGTCTGGGGTGTCTGCTTCTAAATTTAAAGATTTTAGAGGCCAGATTTTCACTCCATATAAAATCAAGCGTAGCTCTCTCAATCAGGGAGCCTGAGCTAAGTAACTGGCTCCATATTTTCATCTAAAAACCAAACTCTCATTTAATTACACCAGTTTTGCTTCAAAAGCACGTTCAGGTAATAGTAGTATGGCAGAGGCATAGGGATAAATCCCAGAGGAGCTTCTGTGCCCTGATCCTTCCTTTAACTTGTCTTTTCTTCTATCCAGTGGTGTTTGGCCAGCGCTTGGCTGAAACTGTGACATACGAACAGAAATTTGGGCAGCACCAAGTTCCCATCCTGGTGGAGAAATGTGCGGAGTTCATACGGGACCATGGCATGAACGAGGAGGGCATCTTCCGACTGCCTGGGCAGGACAACCTGGTGAAGCAGCTGAGGGATGCATTTGATGCTGGAGAGCGGCCATCTTTTGACCGGTAATGTTTATATTTCCTGATGCCCTGCAGCTACGTGCTCTTTCTGTTGACTTGAATGCTCATGCAGTGCACTAGCCCGGGCATCCTCAGTGGAGAAGTAGGTAAGAGCAAACAATAAAAGGGGGTTGCAAAAAAGGCTAAGCTTAATAGTAATCTGAGGCATGGGTGGCAGTGGGATGCTGAGCAAAGAACCCCAGACCATGATGGCTGCTGCTTAAAACACTGCCCACTGGGGAAGTGACAGAAACTGAGGCCCCCTCTTTAACTACAGCAGAGGTGCCTTGCCAGTTCTCCCCAAGCCTTTGCCTTGACAATGTGCCTCAGTCCTAAGCAGCAGAAGCCAGCCCTAGGGAGAGTTCTGCCATGACTGATTGCTACTGACTGTAGTTGCAGCTTGAGTAATGCAGATACCTATCCACCAGGGATCTGGCTGAGACCCATAAACTCATTTTACAGAGGGCCCCAGTCAGCACAAGGCAAGGCCCCATCACAAGGCAACCAGGGAAGCTGCCAGTGTAGAGAGCTGGAGACGAGGTGTTGCTGACTTCAGTGTGACTAACAGGCTCTCATCCACGGCTCCTCTCAGCAGGAAACAGGAGAGATTGGTGAAGTGGAAGTGAACTGGGGATTGAAACTAAGCTCAGTGAAGAGGCCAAAAAAATGTAGCTCTCCTATTCCATTCCCTGTAAATCTTTTAAGTTTCCTATTCTCACCATGCTCAGTTCCTTTTCTCACTGATCTTCCCCTACCAGGAAGCCTAGAAAGATAAGAAGACCTAACATTCCCTTGTTTTTACAGCCCCAAGTTATTTTTACAAGAGCCCCAAGTTATTCCCTAGCTACAGTCTGTCAGGGGCCTGGCAAACATGGGAAAGTGGTGTTGTGCCTCTCTTTATAACATTTCCTGAGTAAGCCCATTAGTTTCTGATTGCACCCAGACCTGGTTTCACTTCCTCTCCATCAGCTGCTCTGCCTCATTACTGCTCATCCTGCCCACTTGCTTGGAGCTGGTTGTAACCCCTTGTTGTAATTCTAGGTCAAAGGCTTGCTTGCTCTATAACCCAGATGTAAAAACTTTGTCTTTTATTGCCCTGCACCTCATGTTGTCTTTGCATACCAGTGCAAAATACTAGCAAGTCAGAAAGCAGCAGATTTGAGCCCCTAGCTCCACTCTGGTGTAAGCAGTCCTCCCAGGTGCAGGGCCAGCCCCAGGCATTTTCATCTGGTTCTGCTCTCAGTGTGCATGTGTGAACCCCACTCCCTACTGCACTTATCAGTGCCCTTCTCTCTAGCACACCAGCTGCACTAGTGGCTTGGGGTCAGGTTCAAATCCCATTCCTGTCAAGGGCAAACTTCCAATTGACCCTGATGAAAGTAGGATTTAGGCCAATATTTTTAGAAGTGGCTGTGAGCCCAGCTCAAGATACCTTGGACTAGATTTCCAAGGGGCTAAGGATCTCTCCCACTGATTTCAGCCTACTTAAGGTGTCATAAGCTGGGCTTTCCAAAGTGGAGGGGCCCAAAATGAAATACTTACAGTTGAGTCCTGAGACATTTTCTTTCAGAGCTGAGAACTAGACCTCCACCCCAGGACTCCTAGTCCTGTCTTTTAACCATGCAGCCCTTTCTCTTTACTCCCTCCCTATATATAGAAAAGAAAGTTTGCATAAAGTTAGCTACATAAAACCAGGGCTTATTTAGAATAAGCCATGGGCTGCTCTGAAATTTGCAAGAACCCCGTACTTGCTGGTTTTGAAGCCTGGCTTCCCAACGCATTGTTTTTGGATCTGAATAGCTTCTGCGTTCTGAACTTTTGAATCGCTTCCTGGCTTTTCCATAGCCAGCTTTCCTGTTACAACCTGTGAAGCTTCCTTAGGAGTTGAAACCCTTCTGCCAGACAGTACGGGGCATGGAGAAAAGGATCAGCTATCTTTTCACAGTGCCATGTGATGTTGGCTTTACATTGGAGGGCCTGGGATAAACATTTCCAAGCAGCTACATGAAAATGTACTGGATGGTAATACCACTTTGCACTTTTGCAGAGAATCTTTAAGCTCATTACAAATGTGGAAATTGATTCTGCTTGCACTTAAGTCAGTGACAAAACTGACTTTGAGTGATATATGATTGTGGCCTTGTTTACGTGCTTTTGAGAGTTAAGAAGAAGGAGTGTGGATGCATTTATATTGGTATAAACATGATTACGCTTGTATAGCTCTTCCAATCCTGGGAGGAGAATAGGATATACTGGTGCAGAGTATCTTTACACCTGTTTAACTTCTGTACTCTAATGGTTTTACTGGTACAACTGTATCAGTAAAAAAATCCTCTCATCTAACCAAACTGTTATCTTGTTAGACCTGTGTGTATACCAGGCCTAAGACTCAGGGCAGGCCTACAAAGGGCTGCCCTTGAACCACCCAAGTTCCCTTGCCTCAAAGATAAGCACATGGCTCAGTGTTGGCAAGGTCAGTAGCTAGACGCATGGGAAGTTGAGACACCGAGTAGGTAGACTGGCTTGAGCATCCTACAGTGAGTCAGTTGCAAAGATAGGAAAAGAACCTAGGAGTCACTTGCTCTAGCCAGCTAGTCTAGACTGGGCACATCTACACATGCGGCAGACTGTGCAGTCATTTAGTACTTGCTTAAGCAGTATCTGGTGTTACTGGGGAGTCCCGACGCTGCATGGCTGTTTTTAGCAGCTACTGTGCAGTAGCTCACTGCTACTGCATGGGTATCACAGTTTGTGCCCAGTCTTGGTAGCAACGAGCTACAGCGATGTAGCTCACCACTACAGCGACTTACTGTCTCATGTAGTCGCTCCCACTGTGTGTGAAAAAGATACACTGCTTATCTAATATATAGCAAAAGTAACAAGCACTGTTTAAAGCCTATTCCAAGGCTCAGTGGTACATGTACCCAGTGCCATGCCAAGACTGACCTACCCAAAGCAATGTTAACTAAATTCCTCAACCAGTGTGTGTAAATGGGTCAGAATTCCAAAACAGTGACTTTAAAAAACCCTAAAAAGCAAGCCTCCAAGATTGCATGGGAAATTAAAAAAAATTATTAAAAAATAAATGACCTGAAGAGTTTTGCCACAAGATTAAAACAATTTCACAACTTGAAGGTAGGTCAAATGAAAGGCCTCCAATCTTAACAATGTCCTTCTTTGACATAATATAAACTCCTTGGTATGCAAAGCTCCAAACATCTGGCCAAACAGAACATGCTCAGTAATTGCTGTCAAACTTAAAAACCCACAGTGAGCTTTGCCAGCTCTGCACAGGATGGAAAATGCCTGCCAGACATGTGAATGCAAGAAAATATTTGCCTAAGTAAATGCACAAAAACATTCATGAGTCAAATGTAGGCTGGGAAAACACTGTCTTGGTCATGAATTCTGGGGAACTGCCAACCCCATGGTGAAGCAGGAATCTGTGCTAGATATTGTCATTCCTTCCCTTGTCCCACTTGGTACACTCTCAGGCCAGCGGGTACTCTATGGGAGTCTGCTTTGGTGCCCTCCACTGGCACTTGCCCCTACAATTTTGTTCTGCCCACTCTATTTGGCTAACCTCTGTTCCTTTATGACCTCTGCCCTCTCCTGATGCTGTTTAGGTCAGAAACCTTCCTCTACCACTAAATTCCTACCAAACAGCTCAGAATTTCACAAGTGGATTCTTGATTCAGATCTCACCTTTTATTTTATAGAGATACTGATGTACATACAGTGGCATCTCTGTTTAAACTCTACCTGAGGGAGCTCCCGGAGCCAGTTATACCTTGGATGCAATATGAAGGTTTTCTCTTATGTGGTCAGCTTCTGAATGCAGATGAAATGAAGGTATTCCTCATTTATTTCCTCCTACTTTCATTTTAAATCCAAGTGATTTATGAACCTTAAATATTTCAAATTCAGAGCTTAAATACAGGGCTGGGATGCACCACCAAAAAACTTAACTTTAGTAGATACAAAAATGCAAGCAAGCAAATACAAAAACTTGTGACTGTCCCACTTTTGGTATCTCTGCTTTAGCTGAGTTTTTGCAGTTAATGAAAGAAGAGTAAAAAAATACCAGAGGAAGGAAGTGCAACATCCTGCAGTTCTCATGTCACTAAACAGAGAGAGTGGCTGGTAGGAGTGCTGTAGGGTGAGTGAGAAAGGAGACAAGGAAAAGGAAAAGGCTGAAGAAATGCAAAAAATAGATGGGAACAAAGCCTTGGAGAAGCTTACATGAGACACAATAATGAGAACTTAGCAACTGCTTCCCAACAGAAAAGCTCATGAGGAGCAGAGCAGAAGGGCCATGAACCTGAGTGAAGAGCCAGGCAAATTACTGCAGTATGTACAGAGCCTCTCTGTTTGAGAGCTGAGGGAGCCCATAGGTCTGAGATACAGAGAAGCTGCAAACTCATAGCTTCCCATAAACATTAAAATTGCTCAGACAGGAATATAGGGACTGCTGTACTGGATCACACTAGCAGTCTATCAGCATCATCCATCACACTACTGCTAATATGGTGTAGGAGTCCTTGACTTCAGGAAAGCTGACTTTGACAAGCTCAGGAGGCTTGTTGGTGAGGCCCTAAGGGACCACGACC